GGTGATAATGGGGACGATGGAGTGGGGTGAATGGTGGTTTCAGGTGGTTGGGGATGGGAGTTTGTAACTGATGGTGGCTTCTGCTGGTTGAAAGCCATTTCATTTTAGAGGTTTGGTTGTTGTCACTGGGATTGTGTTGTTTCTTTTAGATCAAAAAGTTTAACATTGGATTGTAATTTATAGTTTAAAAAGATATACCAGTCCCTAATCCAAAATTAAGGAACCACAGGAGTGTGAAGTTTGAATGGAATTTATGTACTAAAAACACCTTATTAGTTGTTTCTATGGAATTTAAATCCAAACCCAGTTTTTTAAATGGTATTAGCATTGTGTCAGTATTACCATTCCTATTAGAGATCGTTCTTGTATAATTTTGGAAAAGTAAAGATGGGTACTTTGATAATAATGAACAAGAGGATACTTTGTTTATCATAAAAGACTGAATAGTGAATTTCCATGTTGGTGTAATTAGTTTAAAAAGTCCATTTTAGAGAAGAATCAATTTTCTGAGTCTGTAAAATGCACCCCAAAACTCCACCATACTCAATTTTACCTAAACCATATTATATAGATGGTTACACACTAATGTGATGTGCTAGCCACATAAGCAATATGGTCTAATAATAGCTTGCCAATGTAAAGCTGCGATGTGGGCCAATGAGGAGGTGGCAAAATGACAATGATGTGGTTCAGCATAAATATGCCATAAAGCTAATATACGAGCATAAGGCAGCAACCACTCACTCTAGAATTGTGGAAGTGAAAGCAAGAAATTATGGAAAGTTACTAGAATTCTAAGACATTGGTATGACGTTTTTCATTTGTGGTAAAATGGTGCTCCTCACTCCGCATAGTTAACCGGTGCTCTCTGTACATCGAAGTTTCTGCTCCTCTCTATGTAGAGGTTCTCTGTTCATTAAAATTAGAGATTTTTTCAAGATGGAACGTGTTACAAGTGGGACTTGTCCCATATCGGATTTGAATGGGAGTTAAAGTGTGTATAAATGGGTGGGTGTGGAGCACTAAATAGCTTGAGTATGGGTGAGGATGCAGCACTCCAGTCAAATTTTCATCTGGGTGATCGAATTAGACCAGGTATTTTACTGATTTAATTTGTTACACATGTTGGGCAAAATTGTGGACATGTGGCCGACTACAGGACTGTCATGTGGATAATTAAGTTGCTATATTAATGGAGTCAACCCTAACTCTAATGTGGAAGTTGGTTCAAGTGGGTTGTAAGTGATGGACTGATATAAAGGACACATTTACAACCCACCACTCCTAATGGTTCGGAAACTTGATCATCTAGGTAAGAGCCACGTATATAAAACCCCAACATTTGCAAAACAAATGTATACGATATGAAACTTAAAAAAAAAAATTGAATATTCATTTTTCATTTTAATATGATGTTAAAGCTACATATATAGTTATTAAATTGTGAAAACATCAATCAATTCCCTAATGCTTCTATAGCCTACACAGCACAAGGGCGTATAATCACTCGGATCTCTCTTATAAAACTAATGGAGAACAACTCAGAAGTTCACCGTGATTTGCTACAACCACCATAGTTATACTTCAAAGAACAATTATATGCAGTAATTCACAGTTAATTGTAGAAGCCTTACATCTCTTTCTGTTCACTGTGGAGATAAGACTTCTCACAGTACTTAGCAGCAGAATAAAGTTGAGGCCTTAAGTTCTTCAGTCCTGGAAGTTAAAAATTATGGTTCAGATTGGAATCAGTGCAACAATTCACCATCAAACTGCATACTTCTCATACAAGAGAAATATTAAGGAAAATGCAGGGCAGCAAAACATATGTGAGCGCGAGCATTGTGCAATCAAGAATAAGAATAGATTCCAACAACTTAATTGGTCATATTGCTTACATTGCATTGGAATAAAATACTAAAATTTGAAGATGCAATATGATTTTTTTTTCTTGCCATATATTTCAAAAACATGCTTCATAATATTAACAATATCCAACTTTATAGATTGCACTAAAATTAGCAGCTTGTTACACTACCTATCATGTGGTTTTGCTATCGTAACCTTTTCTCCTGGTTTATGCAAAAAAAGGAGTGACGAACTCATTTTTTTTAAGTTAAAAGTTGGTGAATTTAACAAATATTATCATCCATACAAATTAATATCTTAGAACCAAAATATCCAATTAACTGTAGCTTTGTAAAGGAATTTGGGAATTAATAACGAAAGGCCCAAAAAACCTAAGAAATTTTTTGTTCTCTTTGAGTCTATTTTGAAGCTCTAAGTTGGTTCAAGTGGTTGTAAGTGATGGACTGTTATAAAGGACACATGACCGACGACAGAATTGTCGGGTGCAAGAAATTTTTTGTTCTCTTTGAGTCTATTTTCAAGCTCTAAATTGGTCAATCGATTTATAATTGAGCAAACAATAGATATATAAACAAATAGTTCTCAAGTTTCTAAATTATTGCATTTTACAGTAAATAGAAAGATTTACTTGACTGAGTAAACTTGAATACAGCTAATTAACTTGTAGGGAAAATTTTATTTCATTTATATTTTATAATTTACACAATATCACATATACAAAAATTTGACAAACAGAAATTTTTGACAATTTATATCATGAGCAACATACAAATTTACATTAGAATGACAACGTGATGGGATTCATGAAAGTTATAATTTACATGAACATCCAGTAAGTATAAAAATGAACATGATATGAGCAAAATGATTAAAAAATGAAAAAGTTTTTCTATTTTGGAAAGTAATAACAGAAATTGGGGAGGAAAAATATTTGCTTTGGAAATGAAGAAACGTGTAATGCATTGTTCTAAAATCGTTATAGGTTTTAAATTCTTTTTGATTTTGAATCTAAGTCACGAATTTGGTACTCCCAAACATGACATAGAATTTAGAGGGATGAAAATATATTTCTAGAGATATGCACACGTCATGTCATATGAAAGAGGGCTCTTTTTTAGGTATGATAACGAGGTAGAGTTGTAACGGGTTTGGATATACCCTACCCCGTTCCGTTAGAAAATTCTTCACACCAACTTCGCCCCTACTCCGGAATAAGTTTATAATTGATATATTCTGATATTGACTCCGCACCGTGTACTAAGTTTAATTGCGAGACAGAACGGGTCATACCAGTTTTATTATTTAGTAAAAAAAATTGTCCCAATGCGCTCAAATTAGGCTAATAAATAAAGTGACCCAACTTTTAAATTACTAAATAGTAAATACTAATATAGCAAAGTAACAAGGATCTTAAATTTAAATTTATTTTTTATATATATATAAAATATATATTTAAAGATATATATATAATCGGGATGGGGCAACACGGGTTCATCACTAAATCGGCCTCGCCGTTGCCCAAACCCGTTTCGAGTTTTCCCAGGTGTGGGGGCAAAAATCTCCCCTTCCAATTAAGACAAGACATATCAGCACATAAGGAGACCACCACAAATACTGAGACTATTCAACCTTCAAATTGGGCCTCTACAAGAAGCTTAGGCCAGGTTATTAAGCATAATGGGCTGAACTTATTAAGAAGGCCAGTGATAATAAAACCCCAAGCCCAATTACAAATATGTTACTAAACCCATTTTTAGTAACAGTATTATTAGAAGAAGAATTATAATCTAACCAACAGGCATGTGGCCTAGCGGTATCAAGCTCCTACTTCTCAAAGAGAGGTAAGGGGTTCGAGTCTCCGTGGAGGCATGTGTGTGTGAGTACCAACTAGAAAAAAAAATAATAAATAAATAAATAAATAATAAAATAAAATAATTATAATCTACGGAAACCAAATAATGTAAATCCTTGTTATAAGGAAAGTATGATGTAATTCAGATTCTTAAGGGACAAGCAATGCAAGTCCTAAAAGGAATCTATTATGGTTTTTTCTATATAAAAAGGGCTCAGAACCCTTAATAAAGGGGAGACAAAAAAAAAGGGCAAGGCCCCAAAAAAGAGAGATCCAATTCTCATTGTCAGAACTACGTTCCGACCTGATTCCCACGCTCCATGTGGGATACGTAGGCAATCTAGGTAATCCTAGGTTCGGTCATATCATCAAAATACCCCTTATCTCTATATAATTTCTCTAGTTCGTGGTTTGTTCTATATTATTATTTTGAGTGTGGTCTTTATAGAGAATTCGTTAACTTGTCAAAGTCGAGCGAATTTTTGCACCTACACTTTGGCGCCATTTGTGGGAAACCTTTAGAAATATATCCCCACCAAAGTTACAACACTTCAAATTAAAATCTCCGACGTGACTTTTATCCACCTTTTTCCAACCGCCACCGCGTATCGACGGCCAAAGGATCCACATGTTTCTCACACAAAGATCTGGCCGGTGAGATTTTCAGACAATCCAACCCGATGCACAACGCGTGTTCCAGCGTACCCAAACCTTTGCAGACACAACATGGTGATGGGTCTCTAATCAGATAAGTTTCCCAACTTGATTTTTACAGTTAAATCTTTAGTAAAAATTATATATAAATATATATATATATATCAATATTATATATGCATATATATATATAATTTCACACATGCTGCAAACAATATGTTTTTCATGTTTCTTCAAAATCCATACCACGAAATACTATAGCTGAATCTGAAAAGAGAAATTTCCTTCATGAGTGATTGGTTATTGAATTTTGCATAAGATGAAATGCCATCAAAGGGTGGCAGCATCATAAAACACAAGGTGGTCCACATCTGTATATCTGACCTCCATAAGGCCAGCAACAACACCACCATGGCAGCATTCTGCATCGCGTCACATTGCGCTTGTTGCCACCAAGTCATGATGCATTCACGAATTCCTGTGACTTGAAATTAAAAATTACTAGTCTAACAATGTGACGCGAAGCCAGTGTTCCTCACACGGCCAGATCCCTCTGCGCAACAAGCGCAAACGTCCGAAGCCCGTGTTCCTCACACGGCCAAATCCCTCTACGCAACAAGCGCAAATGTCCGAAGTTCGTGTTCCTCACACGGCCAGATCCCTCTCTGGAACAATCGGCGGCATTCAAATGGATTTTCAGACACCCAACTCTGATGCGTTTGTGTTGCACTCGTCAAATAAACAGATGGGTTTCAACCCAACCTTTTCAGAACGCAAAGTGATTCTTTCTAGTCCACTCCACTCTCTTTTTATCTCTCAAAAAAAAAGGGAAGCTAGAAATTGTGAGAAGACCTTCTGTCTTCGTCCTGCCGTCGCCGGGACTAAAGTCCTTTCTATTATGCTCTTCCTTCTCTCTGGCTCCATCCAAGTGCACGTTATTACTCGGATACTCGACGAGTTTCCAGAATTGTCGACGTTCAATCACTATCTAACGGTGACACACCTTACCACCAATATCAACAACCGAGAGACCATCACCGTCTACACCGTCAACAACACCAGGATGTCAGATCTGTTCTCCAAACACCCCTCTGTCTCTGCCCTAAAAAATATTCTCTCTTTTTACTTGCTCTTGGATTACTTCGGCTCCAAGAAGCTCCACCAGGTTACCAATGGCACCGCCTTAGCTGCCACCATACCCCAAGCCAGCAGCTTGGCTTCCGGCCCATCCAGTTTAGTCAACATCGCAGGTCTCAAACGTGGCAAAGTCGGCTTCGGAGTCGAAGACAATAACGGCAATCTCGATGCTATTTTCTTCAAGTCAGTTCATGAGATTCTGTGCAACATCTTCGTCATCCAGATCGTCAAGATCTTGCCATCGCCGAAGCCTGAAGCTCCTTCTCCTGGCCCAAGCACAATGAATCTAACACTTCTTATGTTGGCTCACAGCTGCAAAGTCTTTGCTGACACTTTACTAGCTTCCGATGTTGAAAATATGTACTAGGACAATATTGATGGTGGATTGACGGTGTTTGTCCCATCGACGATGCTTTCATGAACTTCTTGCCGAAGTACAAGAACTTGACCGTGGCGAGGAAGCAGGCTCTGCTGGAGTATCATGGTGTTTCGGTGTATCAATCGTTGTCAATATTGAATTCCAACAACGGTCCTATGAACACTCAGACCACCGACAGAGCTAGAAAGCATGATTTCACGGTTCAGAACGACGGCGAAGGTGTGATGTTAAAGACGAAGATAGTTACAGCAAAAATAACAGGGACTATAATTGACGTACTGCCATTGACAATTTTCTCGATCGGTAAGGTTTTGATGCCGATGGAATTATTCAAGGCTGCTCTGACACCCGAATCAGTACTGGAGGCGGAGGCGGAGGCTCCATAGCCGTCGAAGAAAACGCCAGTCCAAGCGTTGGACTCTCCTGCAGGTTCTCCAACGGATTCTTCGGAAAAAGATCCGGTGGATTAGACTACTAATGAGAACGGCGTCATTGGATTCACTTGTGGTAGATTTGTTATGGCCTCTTTAAGTTTGTGGTTGGTGTTTTTACTGAGCTTTGCCCCCATTAGCCGATGTTGTACATGAGCTCTCACTGGTAAACCTGCAACAACCAGTGGGTAAAGTATAAACAAGCCATCATGTTTGCATACCAAAATTACTTAGCAAATAAGTTGGCCTTGGTCATTTGAATTCGGATTCAATTGATCTAGGACATACGTATACAAAGGGAATATGAACCAAACCACTTTTCAACTCCAACCTGCAACCACAACAAAGAACACTCTTCATGTGGACAATCTGTGTTGCGGTCGAAATAATATTTGCCCAACAATCACAATACCAACAGAGGCAGTATATTCTCTTCAAAAAGATAAGTAAAATCATTACAGTTGAAAATCCAATTTACTTCATTATATATTACTTGTTACTCATTGATTTTACACTTTGGCAGAAAATATTTAATGTTTGTTTAATAGACCGTGCCAAGTCCATATACATTCAGATAGTGTTAAAAAAATGCAAACAAAGTTCAACACCAAAATCGCAAATTAGGGATCGCCAAAGGAGTAGTCCTGTACAATTTTGCAGCAAATAATCAAAGGACTTAAAAGGTATTCCAATGGTTTAATCATCGATCAAAGTACGATCGTCTCTTCAATTAATGTTTTCTTCTTGATTTCTATAGTGAATCGAAACCAACGAGCCATGATTAAGGCCAAGGTTTTTCTTGTAGAAATTAAGAAGGCGATAAATCTATAGAATTTATACTCGCATATTGGGACATTGAGTTTATGCAAAACCACTATCCTGTTGATCCCCAAGGGTATATATCAAAATCTTGGTTTACCTGGATTATATTATTTGATTTTAATCATGATCTTCAGAGCAGTGGAGTACTCATCAAATTGGCATAAATGTCTTTCAAAATTAAAATTATTTTCTCTTGGAGAAGTACCCAGAGTACTAAGATTTCTTGATTAGATGTATGGGTTGTTTCAATAGCTTCTTGGGTTCTGATACAAAAGTTACCTGCTATTATCACTTTTTATTTGCTTATATTTATGTTCTGCTTAAACTCCATAGTTGGTTTTGTTTTAAAAAAAATATAAAAAATGCAGAACACGAAAACTTTAGTTCAAAACACTTGCCACATATATCGACTCCTTTAAGATAAGGAAACATTCAAACATCGCAAAGAGGGCCTATTGGTAACAAAGGCAGCCCACGAGCCATCTCCAAGCCCTGTGTCCAAAGAACCTCAAGAGTCCGAATGGATTAAATTTCCTCTAAGGCACGAAGAACTGCCGAGGAATAAAATTCTTCTTCGGACCTCAAGTGTCCAAGAACTTCAAAATTCCTCTAAGGCATGAAGAACTGCCGAGGAATAAAATTCTTCTTCAGACCTTAAGTGTCTGAGAACTTCAAGATTCCTCCAAGGCACAAAGAGCTGCCGAGGAATTAAATTCTTCTTTGAACCTCAAGTGTCCGAGAACTTCAAAATTCCTCTAAGGCACGAAGAGCTGCCGAGGAATAAAATTCTTCTTCGGACCTCAAGTGTCTGAGAACTTCAAATCTACTCCAAGGCACAAAGAGCTACCTAGGAATAGAATTCGTCTTCGGACCTCAAGAGTTAGAGGATCTCAAATTTTCTCCAGGGCACAAAGAGCTGCCGAGGAATAAAATTCGTCCTTAGACCTCAAGTGTCCGAGAACTTCAAATTTCCTCCAAGGCACAAAGAGCTGCCTAGGAATAAAATTCGTCTTCGGATCTCAAGAGTCCGAGGATTTCAAACTTCCTCTAGCGCACACAGGGCCGCCGAGGAATAAAATTAATCTTCGGACCTCAAGAGTCCGTAGATTTCAAAATTCCTTTAAAGCATAACGAGCTACAAAGAGGAATAAAATTCATCTTCGAACCTCAAGAGTCCGAGGACTTCAAAATTCCTCTAACGCATAACAAGCTGCAAAGAGGAATAAAATTCATCTTCGAACCTCAAGAGTCTGAGGATTTCAAAATTCCTCCAACGCATAACGAGCTGTAAAGAGGAATAAAATTCATCTTCGGACCTCAAGAGTCCGAGGACTTCAAAATTCCCCTAACACATAACGAGCTGCAATGAGGAATAAAATTTTATGAAAATTACCTCAAATACGTCGAAGTTTAAATTCTCATGAAAAAATTCTCTAAGGTACAAAACAATGCCGATGAATAAAATTACATGAAAATTACCTCGAACTCAAATACGTCGAAGGTTAAATTTTCATGTAAACTTCTCCAAAGCACAGAGAGTGCCAATGCGTATAATTACATGAAAATTATCTACATCGCCGCCATCAAACGAGGCATATTTTTCTTTCCTTCATGGGGGCAATACCTTCCATAATGGGGGCAATATAAGCAGCCCTAAAGAGATATTAAGAAAAGAAAACATATTCTCTTTTTTTTAAGCCCAGACTATTTGGCCTAAATACAGTTCCTCTCAGGCTCACAGCCGAGGAACTACATGCCTCAGACCTCCAGAGTCCGGTACATTACAGTTCCTCTCAGGCTCATCGCTGAGGAACTACACACCTTGGACTTCGAAAGTCCTATACATTACAATTCCTCTTAGGCTCATAGCCGAGGAACTATATACCTCGAACTTCGAGAGTCCAGTACTTTACAGTTCCTCTCAGGCTCACAGCCGAGGAACTACATGCCTCAGACCTCCAGAGTCCGGTACATTACAGTTCCTCTCAGGCTCATCGCTGAGGAACTACACACCTCGGACTTCGAGAGTCCAATACATTACAGTTCCTCTCAGGCTCATGGCCAAGGAACTACATGCCCTCGAACCTCAAAAGTCTAGTACAATACAATTCCTCTTAGGCATATAGCTGAGGAATTACATGCCTCGAACCTCCAGAGTCCGGTACATTACAGTTCCTCTCAGGCTCATCGCTGAGAAACTACACACCTTAGACTTCGAGAGTCCTATACATTACAATTCCTCTCAGGCTCATCGTTGAGGAACTACACACCTCGGACTCCGAAAGTCCGATACATTACAGTTCCTCTCAGGCTAATGGCCAAGGAACTACATGCCCTCAGACCTTAAGAGTCCGGTACAATATAGTTCCTCTTAGGCACATAGCCGAGGAACTACATGCCTCGGACGTCCAGAGTCCGGTACATTACAGTTCCTCTCAGGCTCATCGCTGAGGAACTACACACCTCAGACTTCGAGAGTCCGATACATTACAATTCCTCTTAGGCTCATAGCCGAGGAACTATATACCTCGAACTTCGAGAGTCCGGTACTTTACAGTTCCTCTCAGGCTTGTGGCCGATGAACTTACTACCTCGGACCTTAAGAGTCCGATACAATAAAGTTCCTCTCAGGCTCATAGCCGAGGAACTACATACCTCGGACTTTGAGAATCCGGTACTTTACAGTTCCTCTCAGGCTCATGGCCGACGAACTTACTACCTCGGACCAGAAGAGTCCGATACATTACAGTTCCTCTCAAGCTCATAACCGAGGAACTACATACCTCGAACTTCGAGAGTCCAGTACTTTACAGTTCTTCTCAGGCTCATAGCCGATGAACTTACTACCTCGGACTGGAAGAATCCGATACATTACAGTTCCTCTCAGGCTCATAGCCGAGGAACTACATGCCTCAGCTCTCCAGAGTCCGGTACAATACAGTTCCTCTCAGGCTCATGGCCAAGGAACTACATGCCCTCGGACCTTACGAGTCCGAGGAGCTCAAGTTTCCTCTAAGACACAAGAGCTGCCGAGGAATAAACATTTGCCTTCAGACCTCAAGAGTCCGAGTACCTCAAAATTTCTTTAAGGCATAAAAGTGCCACGGAACAAAATGACATGAAAATTACCTCAAACTCAAAGAAGTCAACGGTTTAAATTTTCATATCAAAACTTCTGAAGCACAGAGCAGTGCTGAGGATAAAAATAAATTACCTCGGAATGCTAATCGGGAAAGTTGAAGCTAATTGCTCAAGAAAAACACTATTTTGATCTCCAAAATGATCATTAAAAATGATCACCATCATTATTCATTAAGGCTAGTCACCTAAGCTAATCGCCAAGAGTGATCGTCGTCAATCTGAAAAAATAAAAGCACCAATAGCTTAAATAGAAGAAGGCTCAACATAAGACGCCACCTTTGAGCATGGGGGCACCTCAACTACAACCTCCTCAGAAACCTTGATTTTGGGTCTTCGTACTTTCCAAGAAGACAAATAAGTCACTGCCTTCAAGGCATACTGTCTCAATTTTTCAATTCCCTCTAGTTATGGCTACCACGTCAAACTAGAGGGGATTGGGGGCAAAGTGTTGGGGCAAAAATCTCCCATTCCAATTAAAACAAGACATATCAGCACATAAGGGGACCACCACAGATACTGAGACTATTCAACCTTCAAATTGGGCCTCTACAAGAAGCTTGGGCCAGGTTAACTAAGCATAATGGGCTGAACTTATTAAGAAGGCCCGAGATGATAAAACCCCAAGCCCAATTACGAATATGTTACTAAACCCATTTTTAGTAACAGTATTATTAGAAGAAGAATTATAATCTATGGAAACCAAATAATGTAAATCCTTGTTATAAGGAAAGTATGATGTAATTCAGATTCTTAAGGGATAAGCAATGCGAGTCCTAAAAGGAATCTATTATGGTTTTTCCTATATAAAAAGGGCTCAGGACCCTCAATAAGGGGGAGACAGAAAAAAGGGCAAGGCCCCCAAAAAAGAGAGATCCAATTCTCATTGTCAGAACTACGTTCCGACCTGATTCACACGCTCCATATGGGATACGTAGGCAATCTAGGTAATCTTAGGTTCGGTCATATCATCAAAATACCCCTTATCTCTATATAATTTCTCTAGTTCGTGGCTTGTTCTATATTATTATTTTGAGTGTAGTAATTATAGAGAATTCGTTGACTTGTCAAAATCGAGCGAATCTTTGCACCTACACTAGTTGACTAATACAGTGTCTCGATTTCAAGGTAATTGTCCACAAATCCATTTCTAATTTATATATCATATATCATAATGCAGAATTACAAATAAAATAATGAGGGTAATAAATCATTATAAATTCATAATTAGAAATAAATTAGATAATTGGAAAACATCTAAAAGAATTTGTACCTTCTTCAAATGTCATTGGTGCCCCACCAAGTTTGTGTTACAAGCCCAGCCCAAATCCTAATTTTGTGTTTTTTTTTAGGTTAAATGTAACTTTGGCTGTTCCTATAAAAGTAGAAAGTGAAGGAACTCATATCATCATCACGACGGTCCGAGAGAAGGTTGAAGGGCACCTGGTAAGATTAACAACGATCAGGTGAGTTCCGTTGCTCATAGCACTCGCAATCACCTTTCATTACCAATGATTTATATTTACAGAACAACACTCTCAGTTGGTTTTAGATGCTCTTCTATTTTAGATTCAACAATCCATAATAAACTGTTTTCATCATCATCTCTGAAATCCATCTCAACTTCCACAAATCAACACTCATTTACAGTCAATTACCTCATCAATTCATGTGGGTTGAGTCCAGAAACTGCTATTTCATCTTCCAAATACGTCCATTTTAAAACCCTAGACAAACCAGATTCAGTTATCAACTTGTTCACGAACCATGGATTCAGCAAAACCCAGATCTCAGCTGTCATCAGAAAACGCCCAACAATTCTCTTATCGGATCCCAAGGACACCCTTTTGCCCAAAATGGACTTCTTTTACTCCATCGGCATTTCCAGCACTGAGCTGGCGAAGATAGTATCCAGTAAACCAAATGTATTGATACGGAGCTTGAAGAACCAAATCATACCATCTTTCAATTTGTTGAAGAGTAAATTACTTTATTCAAATGACAAGTTTATCACGGCCTTCAAACGATTTCCTGAGATTGTAGCTCATGATCACAATGCTATTACATTCCCCAACATTGAAAATTTGAGACAACATGGCTTGCCAGATTCGAGTATTGTGTTCTTACTTACTACTGAGCCTAGGTCACTCATGATGAAGCCTGATAGATTCAATGAGGTAGTGGATGATTGTAAGAAATTGGGTTTCAACCCTTCAAAATTAGTGTTTGTTTTGGCGATTAAGGCAATGACGGCAATGAGCAAATCAACATGGAAAAGGAAGATGGAGGTTTATGAGAGGTGGGGATGGTCTGAGGAAGAAACAATGTTGGCTTTTACAAAACATCCCTGCTGTATGATGATATCCGAGGAGAAGATAATGGGGGTGCTGAATTTTTATGTCAACACAATGGGTTGGGAGTCTTCTGTAATTGCGCATCGTCCAAAATTAATGTCATTGAGCTTGGGTGAGATGATAATTCCCAGGTGTTCAGTACTTCAAGTTTTGTTGTCGAAAGGTTTGATTAAGAAACCCATTAGCCTACCGACATTGTTGGAGTCCACAGAGAGTTTGTTCCTCAAGAAATTTGTGACCTTTTATGAGGAGGAAGCTCCTCAGTTGTTGAAACTATATCAAAGCAAAATTGGACCTTTCAAAATTACATCAAGGTAAATGTGGAACATATCAATTGTAGAATATCTACTTCATTGTTGAAGTGGCTTGCTTACACATCCCCTCGTCTTTTACTTGCTCTCATTTCCACCCTCTGCTATCACACCACGACCTTTTTGAACTAGGTCTTTATGAACAGTTTCTTTTGTTGGGAATGTTATGATCTTAATTCAATGTTTTTGGTTACAAAATGCTTAGACAGCATTAATACATCTTTTACTAATTATGCATGCATTTAGCTGAATAATTGATTATTTTTGTGCAACTCCGACTCTGCAAGATCTTCTTAATCTTTAATTTGAAGCATAGATAAACTCAATAACAGTCATGTTACTATAGGATTGATATTTTATTTCAGTTCTACTTGAATATAACTTCTTTTTTTTTTTGGGTCAATTCCTTAAGTGGCTGCTGTAGGAATTCATTTTGATCTGCGCATAGCTATTCTTCATTCTCATGTTAATGGGCCTATGGACATGCATGATAATACAGTTTAATTTCAGAGTGGTTTAGATGTTGGCATTGACCTCTACTTGGAGTGAGGTAGCATAAGTCTCTTCCAGTGAAGTGGTGAGCGGTTCTCGACGATCTGCCACCCCGAGGAGTGAAATGTTTGGACTTTGTAGTAGAGGATGGTTGAGGATTTTGTGCTAAACTGTGAGGCCACCACAAGCTAAATAGTTTGAGCAATGTTTACCTGTTTGAAGCTATAGATGATGAAATAATTTGAAATGGAAAGCAGATGAAGTCGGCACTTTGGCCTCTGAGTCGTTGAACCTTTACGATACTCATCAATTTTTCGGCTTAGGGTCAGTCTTTAGGAGATTGCTACTTTACCTTCTTTTAGAGATATATGCATGCTTCCTATTTTTGGTTCATCAAAGTTCTTACCAATATAGTAGCAGAAATTTTTTTAAAAAACAACTCTGCTCTCTCACCAATATCTCTCTGGCCATTTTCTAGGGTATTACATTACAGTTTTGGTGTGAATAGCAAACTTCTTGTTTTCTATCTTTATGTCAAAACAGTTGGTGAAAATTTCCCAATGAGTTTTTCTTGCTGTGGCAAGTCGTGGAGGCATAAGTGTTGCAGGTTCATGGAGCACCCAACTACACCGTGCTCTCACGGTCGGGAAACCCCTCCCTGCCCTTGGAGAATGTGTAGAGTATAATGTTCTACTACTAGTTTTTCTCTCTTGCGGGAGTTCAAAATCTATTCCCATCCCAGCTTGCCAGCATACTTTTATATTTGGGATTTTTTATGGAAAATGTTTTTTGGTGAGGAATTTTTTTTTTGGGGGGGGAAGGTTATGCAAACACACACCGATGCCTCCACGGATGCCCGAACACCCCTCTAAGCATCTACAATGTAGATTCACCCGTTATACTTTCTTTTATTTCCAGGCCTAACTTCACAGACTTATACAAGGAACTACCTCCATTCAAAGACATACATATATTAGGCTGGCTTGGCCCGCTTGGGGCTTCATGGAAAAACCATCCAAACAGCAGAACTTCATTTCAATATCAATTTCATTAGCTTGTCATTTACTGTTAGTGTCATTTCCTTTCATGCATCTAAATTTCAAGTCTTTCAATACTACCTTAAGGCAACAGTCACCTGAATCTTCATGGCCAAATTTTTTTTTTTTTTTTTTTTTTTTTTGTTCACATTTTTTTCTTAGTTGGTAGTCGCACCTCTCTGGGCTTCATTTGGTTAGATAGAAATAAGTAAGAAAAGAATAGAAATGAAAAATGAAAGAAAAGTGAAGTGAATTAAAAGAAAAGCTATTTTCTAGCATTCATTTGGTTAGCATGAAAATTTATTCACGTAGGAAAATATTAGTTTGTTAGTCTGGATAGCATAAAAGTGAAAGGAAAGTGATTATGCATACCCAAACTACCCTTATGATTTCAAATACTAAAAAAAATTAATGAATTTGTGTTTGAAGATGTCTATTTTTAGCAAAGAAATAGTAAAATAATGGATTATTAAATTTAATATATAATTATTTATATATTCATTTTTATTGTTTATATTTAAAATAAGTCTTCATAATATTTTTTTAGGTATAAGTAGAGACTACTTATTAGTTTATGAGAAAGAAAATTAAAAAATTAAAAAAAAAAAAAAAAAAGACGAAAATGAAAAAGTGATGGGTAATACTAATTTTTGGGAGAGATTTGATTATATGTTGTTGTTGCCAATTATATATGAAAAGTTGTGGAAAAACAAAGAAATAAGTTGTTTTTGTAGAAAACTCATCTCTTAGAAATCCAGCAGAAAACAAAGAAATAGTTGTTTTGTAGTGAATTTGTCTATTTGAAACTCACTAGAAAAATAAAGAAAGAAGTTTGCTCGATAAAGTTGTTGGGTAAAATAGAAATGTCAAATAAAAAGGCATTCCTTTCACGTGAAAATATTATTTTCGCATGTTTTGTACAGAAAAAATTTTGGGAGGAAATAACATGGTGTGCAAAACTATTCCATCACTTTTCTTTTTCCATCTATCCAAACTCCAAAAAATTTTAAAATTTTATTTTTCCTTTCTTTTCTAATTGATTCCATCACCAACCGAAACCTCAGGTATTATTTGCACTTAAGAGGAGTCGAACTTTAGACCTGATGATTCCAAGTATTTTTATTTTTATTTTTATTTTATAATTTACATAATATCACATAACAAAAAAATTGACAAATAGAAATCTTTGGCTATTTATATCATGAATAGCATACAAATTTACATTAAAGAGACATCAAGTGCATATAAAAATGAACAAATTAATGATTAAAAATGAAAAAAGTTTTTCCATATTGGAAAGTGATAGCAGAGATTGAGGGGAGAGAAATTGGCTTCTGAGATGGAGAGACGTTTTATGCATTTTTCTAAACCTCCTAGACGCAAATTCTCACGGCTACATTGTCTCATTGCAGTCAAACTTGTAAAGTAGATTTGAAAAAAAAAAAAAATCCATGATAGAATTTAGAGAGATGACAATATCTTTCAAGAAATATACGGCTAGGTTTGTTTTGATTTGAAATATTTTTTAATTAAAATTTAACGAAAATAAGTTATTCATTAATTATCGGCAAGTTATTTTACAAATTCGTTTGATGGACTCGACCTCAACCTCGACTAGACCTTTGCCAAACACCAAAAAATAAAAATATATATATTATATCAAAACAAACGAAGCCTAATGTCATATGGAAGAGGACTTTTTTGTAGAGGTTTAAGTTGTAACCATTTCTATATTATAATGCAGAATTACAAATAAAATAATGATGGTTATAAATCATTATAAATTCATAATTAGAAATAAATTAGATAATTGGAAAAATATCCAAGAGAATTTGCACCTTCAAATCTCATTGGTAAACCACCAAATCTCTCTCTGGTTTTGATTAAAAAGAAGTTCATGGCAGCTGGATGGAAATTTGCTTACGTAATGTGCTATATTTTTTTTTTCCTATCAAGATTCAAAAAAGAAAGCTTATACCATTTAAGCTAGTAATTATTGGTGATGGTTGCGTCATTTGCAACAATGTCAATTGTGTTTATTATAGAGGCATTGGAAAAATTAAATGCTGAATCCCTTAACTAATTTTTGTTCAGATGAAATAGTTCAAGTATTTCTAAAAGGGACAAAATCTGTAGTTTAATTAGATGATTCTTTTCCTTGTAAGGAATTAAATGATAGTATGTACTTGTTGAGCATATGAGCAAATAAAAACAAGTTGTTCATTTAATTTAGTCATGGCAACAAAAGCTTTTCACATCTTCTCATTCATTTCCCTCCTCTTAACTACTCCTCCTTCCTCCCTTGTCCCGATTCAAACTTGTTTGATACCAAAGATGGAAAACCATCACCACTTGATCTCCTCGAGGGTGCCCGATTTCATCAATGGCACAAACCCTCCCCGTGTAGGCTCCCATTATTCTATCTTCCCCGACAAGTCGAGATGGTCGGATTCTAAGCTTCACCCACCTTCGGATTCCCAACTGGTACCCGTCCTGAGGCCGCGAAGGCCATGTCACAAGCTTCTCGGAAATGATCATCGGATCCCCGTTTGACGGCCAGGGCGGAATCCTGGTTCATGCTTCCAGACCACCACCGGGCGACGGAAGCCTTCACTTTGATGCAGACGAGAGATGGGTGGTTGGAGCTGTACCAGGTTCATTTGACATTGCATGAAATAGGGCACATCATATTCCTGATGGTGCAACCAAATATTTGGATGCAAATGGCATCCAAGGAATCAGGATCTCATATGATCTATGAGGATTTACTGTGGAATTGGACCCTGGAAGCAAATGAAGTCTGTACTTCTATAGGGCAATGCCTCAAATTTGCATGTCTAAAACATGCTTTTATGGCAGTTTAGGGCATGTCATTTGACTCATATAATGGAAAAATGGAAAGCACTGAATAAATTCCATATATAAATGACGAAAAGTAGAGTTATTATAGTAGCAATAATTATTATTACTATACCAATAGATAATTAATCTATACTACTACTACAATTATTATTATTACTATTATTATTATTAGTCTCATTTATTAAATTGCTCCACGTAATGAGTATCATGAGTATCATGGTTAAATAAATTCAAAAACCTTTTTTTTCCATCAACTCCTACCAAACAATGAACTCTAACAAACCAAAAGAAAGTAAACCTCTTTCCTAGGAGAGCATCAGTTTCTTAATTGCTCAACATCTTGAAAAACAAGCTTCACATGGTCCAACCAAAGCCTAAAACTTACAGTTGAAACACTAGCATGTACAAAAACTACAGTGTGTCTATAGCGACATAACTACAAGCATTGCAAATAACCATGAAGAACAGAATCAAGATAACACTCGAGCAATCAATAACCCGGGAATTTACAGACCTCAGTCGTGTCACAGAAGAGCTAAAATGAGAAAGCATTGCATGGCGGGTATACACAAAATGCATTACAAGAGCATCAGAATACATAGATTTAGTTATGACGTATCTGAGGTACTAAACATCAAGCACACACTTAAGTCATCATCAAAGCTTGACAAATGACATATCCTTCAAAAATATAATTGTATCTTATTGAAAATTGAAAAGTTCCATTTTGCACTGATACTTAATCTATCCTCTGCCTGCAAGGCGTTAACTAGATGATAGGCATAAAAAGTGCACAATAAGTATAACCATAAACCAAATGCTGATATCGTAGGAACTCTATTTACCACCATACAGGAACATCTCGGCAGATGGGTAACGTAAGGCAAAGTCCCTGGTTCACATGTGCAACTGAACCCGACCATATGCCATATATACCAGCCACTGTCTTGAGTTCAGGCTCATTATCATATATGGTATTGCCATTCAAGTCTCTGAAATTCCAGCCACAAAACCGGCTCAATCTGAAAAAGAAATACAAGTTTCATCAAGCCTGGCATATATCCAACACCAAATAGGCAAACATTCACATACCACGGGTAAACAAACAAATTTATCTGAACATGAACATTTTAACCAAGACTTTAGTCTCTATGCTGCAGACATGCCAAATTAACCATGAATGATAACCCTCTATAGAGCAAAGTCTTCTTAAAATAACCCGAGTTGGAGTAGAACACAAAGTAAATGGCAATTTTTTTTGTTTTACCTTGGCAAGAAACTCACACACTCACTTTTTGCCCCTGTGGGGACTTGAACCCTTAACCTTCTACTTTACCACTAGGCTACAGTCCTTGTTGGTAAGTAAATGGCAATCTTATTTGCTGCATCACTGTCTAAATATGATGATCAAAATGTAAGTTGTATATTATGTGCTTCATCAACAATTAAACTCTGGTCATTCAGTCTAAAATAGGTATTCTACAAATATGGAATTCAAAGTCGGATTTAATAAAGAAAAATGTAAGCGCAACTACAACACCCCCCACCCCCAAAAAGAAACTTGTTTGGTTCAGTATCTGTTTTCAGAAAACTGAAAATAAGAAAACCATACCAAAATCTGTTTGGTTGTTTAAAACTGTTCACTAAAAACTAGAGTACAAGAAAAGAAAAGAAAACTAAATAAATAAAAAAAAACAGTTGTTTCCAAAGAACAGTCTTTTTTAGTTAACTGAAAACCGTTTTCTATTTTTTGAGTTCTTGAGACTTCTTTTCAAAAAAATGAACCAAAAGGGCCCAAATGTTTGTATCTTTTGAAATACAGGCGTCTATGATCCAGTAAGGTACATGACCCCTCAATCTATGAGTGAAAATTTAAGGCAACACTTCAATCTCCAGTAGATAAGATCTATATAACAACGAAAAAAATCAGGTGCTTGACAGGAAGAATGATTTATGCTCACATGCCCATATTGCCACCTCAAATTCTGCTTATTTAAACATCCTATTTAATGGGGCAAAAAAAAAAAAAAAAACCAAACCCATTTAACTAGTTTTTAAAGTTTTCTCCTGAACTTTTTGATAACATTTACAGTCACTACCTGAGTCAGGTAGCAATGATATTTTTTCCCTTAAATTTTCCCTCAAAAGTTCCTGCACATACTGCAGTCATTCCTGCAGTTTTAATCATGCCTGACAAAGGGGGAAAAATCATGTCTGACAGAAGCAATAGTCTCCTAACAAGCACAGCTATTAAATAAATAAATAAAATGGATCACACACCCCTTGAATATGATTGGAGTGGAGGGTTCCAATCACAAAGAGCTTTGAACAATACTCACCCACAAGCAAGGCCAACAGCTAGCTATGGTGCTGCAGCGCTGGAAACCAGTGTTGCTTACAAGTATTCTATTTTATCCTTCTTCAAATATTTGGATATAAATTTCATATTATTTTTTTACTAATGTTTAAGAGAATGGAGGAAAGGAATTCCAAAAACTAGCAGTCAGGTTTTTGCCAATTGATGAGCACAGAACGTGGTGCTTGTCCTGATGCTCAGAGTCTACCCAAGAAGGTCGAAAAATGTCTCGTTCAGGTGAGCCACTTAAAATTTTTTTTTGGTATCTCAATGGAAACCATTTAGAAAAAAGCTTTTCAATTACAAATTCCCAGGCTGCAGTAATTTTCAAGATTTAAATTGTTTTATAATTGGTGGATATTGTGTTAGTTACACTGAATTTAATGGGCTTGACAATCAGAGGTTGTATAGAATATCAGAATAGGGCTTGACAATCAGAGGGTTGTAGAGAATATCAGAATAGGGCTTGACATGGTAACATGCCTAGTATTTTTGCAGAAAGAATGTGAAGAAATAATAATAATAATAATTTTTTAATTTACTTGCATCCACTAGCATCTTGACCTTAAAGGGGCAAAATGGGGTTTTCAAAAAAATTTAAAAATCACTCATACGTCCCTAATAATGTTTTTTTGGTCTTTTAACTTATTCTACATTTATTTATTTGTTTTATTATCCTAGCAAGAACTCAAACACACTCATGCCTCTATAGGCACTCGAACCCGACTTTCTACTTTGGAAGGTGAAGAAGCACCAATGAGCCACAAACCTTGGTTTTTCTTATTCTATTCCAATAAAGAATTTATGTCATTTCTTTTCACCATTAAAGGAAAATTGAACGTGAAGTCCTTATTTGCACATTTGGATACGTCATCAGTGTTTTTGGAACAAAAGTGGGTTCTATGCACAATATTTATATTACAGGAGTTCCTCTTTTTGGCACTGAACCTGTTCCTACAATTTTAAAGTTCTGGTTTCATTTTTAAATCCAACCTATTATTTGTACTTTATAGCCAAAAAAATTTCTCACAATCCTCTCCTTTTTTTTTAATTTCAATCAAATGAAAGCTTATTTTTATCCTATTTTCGTCCTATCACTGCATCATTTGCAGCTGTGTAAGATGTGTTTATTATAGCGGCATTCTCAAAGGAGGAATGAAAAATTAAAAGCTGAATCCCTAAACAGTGGTTAGATAAAATAGTAAAACAATCTAGTAAGTTTTGCCTTCTAAAAGGGATAGAATCTGTAGTATAATTCTATGCTAGACGGACTCGGGTATGTGTGTCGGGTACGGGTATGTATCCATGTGCCGGGCGTGTCAAATCTCCAAACAAAAGGACACATGGACACTGCAAATATTCATTTTATTTAATTATTTTATTGTATTTTCTAGAGTAGAGTAAAGTTTTTATATAGCATAGTGTTCAATATAGACATTTAACTCATTTTAAAGTAATAATATAATAAAATTGAATGATTGGATATGTTTTTAAGTACACGTCCAACCAAAAGTGTCGGACACATATCCCATACCCATGTCCGAGCAATATGTGTCCAACACGGGTACTTCACAACTTTTGAAGAGTCCAAGTAACATAAGTATAATTTTATGATTATTTTTCCTCAAAAGTAGTAAATGATTATATTTCAGAGGGTCAGAAATACCCTTAGGCACCTCTAATCATCTATAAATAGACTTGTTGAGCATCTGAGCAAATGCATGATAAAGAAAAATTTGTTTCTTAAAACTAAGCCATGGCAACAAAAGCTTTTCACATCTTCTCATTCATCTCCCTCCTCTTCCTATTCCTTCCTCTCTTGTCCATGCAAACTCATTTGATACAAAAGAGTTTGCAACCATCATGCCTTGATTTCCTCAAGGGTATGCACGGATGTCACAAAGGTGACAAGGTAAAAGTGCTACATCATCTCAAAAAGTATCTTGAAAATTTTGGTTATTTGAACCACCCTTCAAATGATCATCAAATCCATGCTAACAACGATGTCTTTGATGATCTCTTAGAGTTAGCAATCAAAACTTACCAGCTCAATTACCATCTTAATGTTACCGGAGTCTTAGATACTAATATAGTGTCAATGTTGATGAGGCCTCGTCAATGGCACAAACCCTCATATAGTCTCCCATTATTCTTTCTTCCCCGACAAGTCGAGAAGGCCAGATTCTGAGCTTCACCTCACCTACGAATTCCCAACCGGTAACCATCGTGAGGCCGTGAAGGCCATGTCACAAGCTTTTCAGAAATGGTCTTCGGTGACAAAATTCAAATTCCATTACACTCGAAACTACGAAAATGCAAAATTGAAGATTGGTTTCTATAGGCGTGACCACGAGGACAGATCCCCATTTGACAGCCCCGGCGGAGTCTTGGCTCATGCTTTTGGACTGGGCAATGGAAGGCTTCACTTTGATGAAGATGAGAGGTGTGTAGTTGTAGCTGTACCAGGTGCATTTGGCATTCGGAAAGTTGGCTTGCGTGAAATAGGGCACGTCCTTGGACTAGGCCACAGCACAGTTGAAGCTCCTATCATGCGGCCTTATGTTCCTGATGGTGCAACCAAAGATTTGGATGAGGATGATATCCAAGGAATCAAGATCTTATATGATCTTATGAGGATTTACTGTGGAATTGGACCCTAGAAGCCAATGATGTCTAACATGATTTCCAGATAGTGAATGAGTTGGTCAAGGGGCATACAAAAATACGTAAAAGAAGTTGAGAAGGTTGTGAAAAAAGTTACTTTATATTCATCGATTTAAATTTGCACCATATTTCTACCCATGTTAAATACATTCGCCCCTGAATCCATCCTCCCCTCCAAATAGATTGGACTCGCCTTTGCAGTGTATTCAATTTAATATTATGTTATTTCCATATACCTTGGAAATTCTATCCCTCAAGTTGAGCTTCTAAAATCAAACAATGGTTCTGTTTCTACTTTATCTAGCTTCTATACAGGTGAGCATTCACTTATTTGATCTCCAGAGGGACATTTCCTAAACCTGTTATTCTGATTATAGTATTTACCATTTTTGGTCTATATCATTATACATTGAAGAATACAGCATTCCACCACTTATAATCATGACAAAAAATGCACGCTTATTAAACCTATGAAGAAACCACTTCTTGGAATTTCTTTGCAAATTGTTAGTAGACTCCTACCCTTACGATAAATATTAACCACTAGTACATTTCGATTAAGGATGGTATTCTGTAAAATTGATGGTAAGGTAAAACTATCAATCAATTTGGACTATTGAGTTAGCATACTCATAAAGTAAATTAAATGATATCACAGTCCCATATATGGGTTTTAGCACCAAAAACCAAAAATGAAAACAAAAACACTTAAATACTATATAAAAAGGAGTTGTGAATCATCCTTATAACAAAAACCAGGGTATAAAGAATCTATGAACATCGCTATGTGTATGTTGTGGAAGATTGCAACCCACCAAGCCTTCCACATGCCTTTGGCATTTGATGGCCAAATAGTTACCATGAAAACTAAAAGAACAGTTTATATAGGTATCTCAATCAGACAAGATTCACAAAAGAAAAAACAATAATACAAATACAAGTTCGAGTATGATAAATTGAAGCCAATTCCCCCAAACGAAGAGAGGGGTGGAGGAAGAAGAAAGATACAAATTGCAAGCTGCCAAGCCTTCATATGCCTATGCATCTGACGGCCAAATACTTACCATAAAACTAAAAGAACAATTTATATAGGTATTTCAATCAGACCAGATTCACAAAAGAAAAAATTACAAGTACAAGTTTGAGTATAGTAAACTTGAATGTTAGGTCAATAGGATGTGAGTTGGCAAATTTCATGTCAAAGACTTAATCTGTATCTTTGTTTTTATTTTTAGTTAGAATTTGAATGTTAGTTGGTGTCAGTATGTTACCTCTTGTAACTGTTCAAAAAAAGAAGTTTGTTGCCTCTAGCTCAAGGGAAAATTGGAATTGAAGTAACAATTAAGGGCAAAAAGGTAATCTTCAAAGCCAAGGATATAAAGGTAAATTGGACACTTGTGTATGCTCTCACCAATTAGAGTTTTATACATTTCATCTTTCATTTAGCAAAATCGTCTTTGATATACATAGAAGTGTAAATCCTTAAAAGGAACTACTTGTTTTTTTGGACTCCTTCAGGGTCAAAAGGCCCTATTTGGCCTTGTGTAGCTTTTGAGGGATGCGTTCCCTTTTGAACGCTTTTAATACAATTCTTACTTATCAAAAAAAATATATACATAAAATTGTTTTCAAAAACTTTTCTAAATCCAAATGCTAATCAATATAGGACAAGGCACTTCGATCAATCAAGGGCCACTGGCCTGGTGTCAATTTACTAATTTGCCACTCAGGCTGGATCAATCGAGCAAAACAAAGTTTCTTCTTCAGGATTAATCTTTTAAAATCCTATGTTTTCAGGATTCTATGCTCTATATAAGAACCTCTAGTGTTGAGAAAAAAAAGGTGGATGCTACATAATAATCTCTCAAGCATACCGAGTATATTTCAGCAATTCTTTGTTAGAGAATTTTACCATATTCATTGTTACTGTTTTAGTTTATTTCACATTGACTGTTTTAGTTTTTTACTTATAAAAAATAGATAAATATTCATTGTTCATCTTTGTTAAGAGTCTCAGTTTTGAGTCCACAACGACTCAACACTGTGCAAAGCGTAATCATATGGATCACTTGGATTGTACGATTGAACCAGATATCAAGTGCTTGTGGAGAAGCAAATCGCGTGAGGAGCAGATCTATTGACAAAGCAGACGGGTGGTTAGGAGACTCGAGTGGAGAGTTTGGCATCAGCCTGTGTCAGAACAACTGTTAACCTAGTTGCAAATACCTTTATCATATAATGGATTTAATCTGACTAGAGTTGGTTGAGTAGTTTTTCTGTAAGGGGTTCTCACGTAAAAAACCTTTGTGTCCAATCTGTTATATACTGCTTTTACATAAATCATTGATTGGTTATATGGTTGATTACATGGCGGATTGGAAGGATTTTTTTTTATAAGTGCACGACGGATTGGAAGGATTAATTGCTATTATGTTAGTTTAGTTTTAAATAATCATGAATAGAGTTTAAATTCAAAAATTAGTTGAAGTTAATTAATTAAATAATCGTGATCTAGACCACAAGGTCTAGATCACGGCTTTGCACTCCTCTGCATCAGAGCCTTGGGTTATGTTCCTATTTCCTCAGTCATGAATTCCATCATTCTTACCATCTGTTCAAGTGTTGCCTTTCTTGAATTTTTCCATCCTGTATCTATTTAGGATGTAAATTATCTACGTTAATATATTTTTGTAACCATTTGTTGAACGTAAAGGTTGAGAATCACAAGTAATTTTCATTAAAACAAGGATTGAAGCCTTAAAATATCATTGTTAAGTCAAAGTCTACCACATAAAATTGAATTACACATGACATGAGGAGAAAAGAGAACATTCAGAGCAAGGCATATGGTAAACATAAGCTGCTGGTACAATATTTCACCACCATATACATATAAGTACATTTGATACACTTCACACCTTTTTATTTATAAGTGAATATCACAGAACTAAGTAGCAAAAGAAAATTAACAGCTTTAGCTGACCTTTATGCTACTCCAAAGTTATGAAGCTTGTCACAGTGTGGAGTTGGCAAGTTCCTGCTCCATTGACGCCTCTGGAGTTCCATGTGACAGTAGCGCCCAAGCATATTTTTGTAATCCCTAATCACATTGCTCTCAATGTTAACTCGAGCAGGACTTCCAAGGGGAAAATTCTGATCAAATTCTTGTGATTTAACAAAAAACTCCACACCATGTTTCTCAGTCGTCTTGGGAAACTGATAGGAATAATTCTTCTGCAAAGAATAATCAGGCTCTGAAAAGGGTAGATAGGCGAGCAAGATAATTAGCAAAAATGGTAATATTTGAAGAAGCAGCATCAAAGTTGGCCCTGTTCCACCAAAATCTTCTCTCTGTGGAGCAGCCGTCCCTCTAGTCCTGTAAACATGAGATGTTCGAAACATGTCAGCCTGTCCAAAGAAGGACCTGAATATCTCATCAGGATCAAAATCTTCATCGAACAAATCATGCGCAGTTGTTCTCCTCCTCCGCCGCCTGACATTATACTGTTGATTGTACTCAAATTCATCAACCAAACCCGTGTGATCATACTGTCTCCTCGAATCATCATCACTCAAGCACTTGAACGCCTTGGAAACGTGCTTAAATGCCTCCTCAGAACCCGGTGCCTTATTCTTATCCGGATGAACTTTCAACGACAATTTCCTATACGCCTTCCGAATCTCCTCAACCGAACAACTCTTTTCCAAACCAAGAATTGCATAGTAATCCTTACTTCTCTTTATTTGCCTAACCAACTGCACTTGCTCTTCAGAATAATTACGCTCCCCATTCAATACCTCATCAAACTTGGCCGGACCTGGCCCATTCCTAGTATCATTTACGTGTTTTTCTTGATTAGCAGGACCAGGTGACTCTGTATCTAGATTTTCACATGCGGCCAAAAGATCATCAACAGGTAAACTTTGGTTAAGCCGTCGCGCAATTCCAATGAATTTCAGCGCACGCTGCTTGTTCCCCGACTGGATCGCCTCTTTTGCTATTCCTATGCATCTCAAAGCTTCGTCCTTGTTACTCTCCATAACCTAAAACCCACTTCAATTGTCAAACTGGCTTACCCAAAATTAAGCCCTAGAACTCAAGTCCGAGCTCTCAAACCCAAAATCCAAACCCAATTAACTTCAATATTAACGATGAAAGCACCAGGCTTTCGTGTAACAATTCGGGACACATATATGAAGATCTAGGGTTTCATATGGCGATATATTCACCTAAATCACAAACAAAACAGTAATGTAAAATTAGGGTTTATTTTTTCCGATTTGTTCGTGTGAATGTGTATTAGCAAACTCTCAGAATGCCAAATCTAATGCGAAATTACTTGGGAGATGCATAAAGATTAGGGTTTAAAATACTAAGATCGTTTCAGATTACCATTCACAAAGACATACCAGGCAGAGCAAGGGCGTACCTGATACAGGAGATAGAGAGAGAGATGGGGTGTCCCGAAACGCAATACCAATCGTATCCGTCAACTATTTATACTCGGTTTGGAAATCAACAAGAACATGCCATGATGTGAAAGGATATATTGTGAGTTTGTGACACATAGTGGAATAATACAAACCATTTTGACCGCACGATTAACATACTTTTATCAAATCAATAAAAAATATATAATAAATAAAAAAGGGCGAATTGCCAAAAAAACCTGTACTATTATGAAGTTGCAAAAAAACTCCTTATAAATATTTTTGGTAAAAAATTCCTTCAACTATTAAGGGGTGTTTTTAACTAATGTCCATTTTAGTAGTTGTCTGAAGAAAAAAAATTTGACAAAATTACCCCTTAACAAATTATTTATTTTTTCTCTCTTTTTTCTCGCATTAAGTAAGTCTTCTCATTCTTTCAAACACAAAGCTAACATATCGACAAACCCAATGGTAGAATCAAAAAATAATATATGATGAGAAAATAATATATGATGAGATGATAATGCATTTCTCTCAAGTTAAATTACTTAAATATCGTTTATAATTAGATTCTTGTGAATTGAATGTGAATTGAATATAGAGTAACGATATCCTTTTACGTTAAAAACTTTCAATATTTTTAGGTCTTTAACTTGAGTACATCAACTAAAATAATTTTGTCTCAAAAAGTTACATTGGGGTATTTCTTCTCGATGTAAGTAAATATTAAAAAAAAAAAAAAAAAAAAAAAAAAAAAAGAATTGATTTGAAAAAGAAATTATATTACTTTTTAATTACCAATTTTAGTTCAACTTACCTTACAGTCATAATTGAAAAGAAAGATATTGACCTAAGGAAACATGGCAAATTATTAATTATTTTCCTTAAAATAATTAATTGTTATAATAATGGCCCTAAAGATCAAGTGCACTGAAGGAGTTATTGAACTGTTTGATTTTTTCATCTTCTATTCCAACGCAATGGTGGATCTTCTCTCTCTCTGGTTGTAGTCAATTTTATTTTGTTAATTATACATAGCTTAAATATGATTTTATTGGTTTTCAATTTTTTATTTTTTTTGGGAAAATTTTCTTTGTTGTTTCACATACCTTCCTTGATTGGGAAAGAGAAAAGAGAGAAAATAAATAAATAAATTATCTGAAGAATAATCTGTTGAGGGGAGTAATTTCGTTTAAAAAATTACCTCAAACAATCACTTAAATGAATATTAGTTAAAAAAAACTCTCTCGGGATAGTTGAGAGAAGTTTTTTGTCAAAAAATATTTGTAAGAAAAAAATTTCGCAACTATTTAATACTCAAAGAGAATTTTTTGCAATTCGCACAAAAAAAGAATTTATAATTTTGTTGAATCATGTAATCACAATAAATGGTTTTATAGCTTCTTACCTAACAAGTGGTGTGAGAAATTTTCTTTTTTTATTTTTTAAATTATGGCAAAAAAATTAAATAAATAAATAAAATTGCACACCCATGTAAGGTGAGAAGTTGAGGCACCACCCTTTGCATCAATTGTTGGAATACACTGTAAAGTGTACCCAGTTAAGGTCGAATCACAAATGATGACAAAAATTGAATAATTACTCAAGAGAATCAATAATCAATAATGAATAACTTCATTGGAGAAAAAGCTACATGTGCGTGCCAACAAATGAGAGAATAAATTGGTAAAGGGTGGACTAAAATTACCACGATGGGGTACCAAAAATTGAGCATCCTATACTTGAACTTTGAAACTTACTCGTTAAGGACATGTTTTAGCAAGTATTTTTGTTGGAGTCTCATGTTGCAGGTGGTGCAAAGTGTTGTGTTTTTCTTGGACTGGCCCCATTTATTATAATATATGTACTGAATTTATATATTTTTGTATGTATATAAGAAAAAATACAAATAATGCCCCCTAAATTTTTTATTTTCTAAAATTATCTCTTTGAGTTTCTATTTTTTTTTTCTTTTACTCTTTAAATTCATTTAATTTCCTTACCAAAAAGTTAAAATTTCCTTTTTGAATCAAATTCTATTATTTTTCCCTTTCAAAGTTGTCTCATTTTTCTTTCGTTTTTTTTTTTTATTTTTTTATTTTTGTCAACTGTTTCTCTTTTTATGTTACTGGTTGATTGACATATTATTTTGTAATAATTTTTTTTTCTATGCCTCTTTATTTGAAGAATTTATATTTGTTGTCATGTTTAGTAAAAAAAAATTTCACATTGTGCCCCCTTGAATTTAATTTTTAGCTTCACCTTTCCTAATGGTATCAGGCTCTTACTTTCCAAAGGGAGATGGGGGATTCGAGCCTCCATAGAGGCATGTGTATATGAGTGGCAACTAAATTTTTTTTTTTAATGTAGCAGGTAGGGCTACAAATGAGCCGAGCCAAGCTTTAAGGTGCTTAGGCTCATACTCGTTTGTTATAGGCTTGGCTCGGGATCATGATGAGCTCCAAAAATTTAGCTCGGGCTTGTTATGGTTTTTAAACCAACTCAGCTAGGCTCATTTAAAAAAAACAAATTGACCGTTTAAAATTGACTAAGCTCGTTTAGTAATAAATGCATATAAACAAGCCCTATAATGAGCTCACGGTTAATGAACATATATGAACATATATTCACAAACACAAACGAGCTTACACGAGCTCATGTTCATAAGCCAACACAAGACGAACCCAACATTATTTGGGATTGGCTCATTTACTAAACAAGCTCGAACTCGGCTCCTTTGCTAAGCAAACAAGCTCGAGCCGAGCCCCAAGCTATTCATGAACAGCTCCATTTGCAACCATAATTTAAGAGCTTTAAATTAGTCATTATGCAACACCTTTTTATGAGGAGTAGTGATACACATACTGAACACTTTGAGTGAATTACCTAACTGAAAATTAATTCGTTATTTATATCAAATACAACTAAGTGAAGGGTTGTACTTCCTTATTTGTTGCACAATTGACCAATTAAAATAGTAGGTCTAGTAATTCACTGCAACTATTCAATGCAATAATCATTTTCCTTTTATCAAACATACTTCCATATTTTTGCTTTTGAAAATCTTACCATAAATCTTACTTTACCAAACTTCCTTCCAATAATAATAATAATAAATAAAAATAAAAAAAATGAAAACACATCACAATAAAAACGTTGTTTGGATGAAAACGGAGACGCAAAATTGAAACAATTACCAAACAAGTCCTAAAGTTATGAAACTTGTGACACTATGGTGTTAGATTAGTATTTTTTTTTTTTTTTTTTTCGTAATTTCCAGCTAGTTGATGTTGTTCCCCTCTCTTCAAAGTATGAAGCCTAAAAAATCATCATTCACCTTACTTCAAATATCTATCACTCTTGTCAAAACCCTCACAATATCTAAAGAACTAGGTATTTATTTATATTCTTATAACTAAATTTTTTATTAAACAAATAAACAAAAAAAAACTATTTTCGTACAATAAAAATTCCAAAGAAACAATAATTAAATTAAAAAGACTCTATAAGTCATATGACTCATAATAAGTAAAAATATTGATACAAAATTTTCAACAATTTCAAGATTGTTTCAATATTTTCTATGAATTACACCCATCCAAAACTCATAATAAGGCAATGGGCATGGAATAAGCTCCCATATTATATGTTTGGCCCATTTCACGTACAATTTTTGACTCATTCGTGAAAGTGCAAATAAACTGAACTGTTCGTGAACAATTCAAGCTCGACTTGAATCAGTTGCAGCCCCAACAATTATGATTGAGCCCCAAGTGTGATCCTTGCCAGACTGAAGAAAACTGATGGCACTACAAATATGCACACATACATATATCTACAAATAATCCAGAAGAAACAGCTTCTAGTTGTAACATACATCTCACTTGTACTTATTTCACATATTCTTTCTTCCTCCCAGAAAAATTAAACATTGAACAGAGAATTTCTTGTATACACTACAGCCTCAAAAGCCTTTCTTCAATTTCTAGGACTCAAAGGTGGATAAATGTATTAGACGAGCAATCAGTTCTCTTCATCAGAATCAAAAGCTTGTCTTCTTCTTACAGATTCCAACACAGCTGCAGGCCGATCTCCTTGAGAAACCATTCCTCCAACGGAAGACTTGAGCTTCGGCACACTCATGGCACTGAGTGGCGGTGTTGATTCACCTTGATTCACTTCCCTCAGCACGGACCTAGCTGTAACTGCAGCTACTGCATCTGCCACGGCTGATGCCACTTTTTTATTACTTCTTAACTTCTCGGGGATCTTATTCTGTATGCTTGCTCCATTTGAAACCTTAGGGATTCCAGGTGAATGGAATGTGTTTGATCTTTGCACAGTTGCAACAGCTTCAGCAACTGTTGATTTGGCCTTCATTGATTCGTACTTTTGCATGTCGTAAATGAGCTCCTTCTGAAGTTGCTTATCGGCAACCAATATGTCATCAATCTCATTCTTGTAGTCCTTGAGAATGATTCGGAGGCATTCCATGAGGGAACCAATTAAAGGGCTGTTCTTGCTCTCCAAGAGACGTTTCAGCTCTATGAATATGGGGATGGTGTTTTGGATGAGGCCCTTTTTGACTGCTTGAGTTATAACTCTTCCTCTAGCAGCAGCAGATGCATCTCCACCTTCTTCATCCATCTCTGCCATGTCAGATGATGATCCACGGTTGGTTGGAATTCGGATCTCTTTGCAAGCAAGAATATGGAAAGAATCCTGTTTCCTCAACATTTTGAAGTAATTTGTCCGTGAAAAATGAGTAACAACAAAGAAATGCAGCGATAAAAAGTATTAAAACATTTAAAAGAAAGAGGATTAGAACCAGAAAGTGACATCTAATGGGCCAAACACATCAAGGAAAGCTCTAGTCCTTGTGTAACAAATTCTTTTTGTTGCAAACACCAACCTACTAACTATCAAAATAGTCCAGAACATGGAATTTTCTGACACCAATAACTAGAAAACACCATCCCTTTTAGTAATTTATAGTGGTGAATATATGGTAAAATGATGGAAGCACCACTCAGTTTTTCACTTTCATTGATGACACATGCAACACCTGAATACGAGCTAAACTCCAATGAGGTGGGATCCTAAGTAATTGTATTTCCGGAGGGGGAGAGAGAGAGCATAGATTTTATACCTGCAGAACTGACTGTCCAGTAGCATCTTGTATATTCAACAGACCATCAGATGCAGACGCCAGGATCTCCGCACATACCTTTGCAAAAGTGGCTAAAAGGTGCTCCGGAGCCATTTGTTTCAGCAATGAAATGTAGATGTGCATTCTTTTAGACCTCGAATTTTCATCACTACCTCTGGATGATGAACAATATATAAACTAATTAGTTCTTCATTAGAATTAACATCGGTTATCCTTAAGTTTAGAAGACTTGAACATAAATACCTAATAGAGAAAATTCGGCTCTCAGTTCGTGAGCTCCGAGAATTACCATTTCCAGTATGGGCATTGCAATCATTTAGAACGAAAATGGCTTCCACAAAACTATTATAAGCTAGAAGTGGTGCCTTTGCTGCAAAGACGTTACACGGAAAAGTCAGACACAATAACAAACTTAGACCATCAGTTCCGGAATAATTCAAATGGAGACCTTTGAAAGCAAAGCAACCTTTTAATATATTGCCAAAGAGGTAATCAGCTAGTTCTCTTATTTTTTCTGATTCGTCAACAAGAGAGAATAAAAACCGAAGGAAAAGCACTCCTCTCCATTTCACGTAGTCCCTCTGAATACAAGTAGGAAAACAAAAGATGTCAGTTGCTAGATAATTGATCTTCATAAATGGACAACAAAATTTTACTGTAACAAAAATAAACCTGTAATAATCTTGAGAGCAATATAAATGTCTGCCTTCTGACAAGTTCACATGGATCACGGAGGCACTTGGTGATCTTTGATATGTAGCTGTTGTCTCTAAGAATAGGTAGTGAGAATAGCAAAGAGAATCCAAACCTATACAAGTTCCTTTATAAAGGAAAGGGGGGAGAAAAGGAAAAAAGGAGGAGGAGACTCACCAATCAACTAGAGCTGTATACCGTACACAAAAATCTGCCATCACCACCACAATATTATTGCGAAGGGATGCACAGTCAGTCTTTTCAAGCTCCTGCAGCAACAAATGCATAAAAGAAACTTATAATTCAGAAACTGGAAATAATTCAGAGAGTAAGCTGGAAGGAAAATTGAGGTCATGAATATCCAGTGGGAGTGATTTGAATCGAAATTAACAAATTATTATGTTGTAAATGTTAAATTACTAGGGAAATTATTAATATTTGTTGATGTAGAAATATATGTGGTATAATAAAGCCTATGCAAAAATGTCATGTGAATATAAAGATAGAAGATACAGTGACCACATGTTAAACAGATATGGAGTCATGTAAAACTTGTGCTTCTCCGAAAGTAGCAGAACTTTATCACATAAGTTGTTAATTAGAGTAATCAGTTGATTAGGAAACAATTAAATAGAGTTGAAAACCTACCCGCACAAACAGAGGAATATAACGCTTTGCAAGTTTCCCATCTGCAAGGCAGATCTTCCCCATTGTTAGCCAAGCATGAATGTACAAGGAAGGGGCCATCTGCTTTATAGAAACTGCAGGGCCCGGTAATTTATTATCTTTCAGGTCAGAACTCTCCGAAGTAATAATGGTGTGTAAAAGTGGAATCGTGGCTTTTAAATCAGCTGACGGACAAACAATGACCAAAGACCCAATAGTGTAAACTGCAGTAATTGCTCGTGATAATAATTTGGACATGGCAGTTGATGCTCTCTTGCCCTTCCTTGTCCCACTTCTAGGCGGTGTAAGAAAGCTACTGTCTTTATTTGCTTCTAATTCCTTTGACATATACATTTCTAGAATTTGTGAAGCTTTAGAGAGGAGTTGTTGTACCCATTTCATAACAAGGCCATCAGCCTCCTCCGGATTCATAGCCTTCCGCTTGCACAATGTTCTGAGTGCTTTTACATGAGCATTAACCTGCCATCAAGCACACAATTGGTCATCCATGTGCAACAGCATTTCTACTGAGCAAGGAAACTTTGTTGCACTCAAGTCAACAATGTTAAAGCCCCAGCATCTTGAGTTACAAAACAAATTCTTCTTCGTGTTCAACTCTATATAGGTTACCATCCTCCATGCACATTATGCCTTCAGTCCCCAGCTACATTCATCTTTGGAAAATATATTTCACAATTTCCACACTGATACAAATTTAATATGTCAACAATAGTTTACAATTCATAGACTGCATGATGTGTTCGCTGTAACAACGGGGAAAGTAATTGGAGCATATGATTTGTTGCTAGAAGTGGAAAGGATGACGAGTCATTGAGTCTCTTTTGTGAAAGATAAACGAGCCACATGCCTGAGATCAGCAAGAATGGAACTTCCTAACTCGAACACCAAGATGTTTAGAACTTTTTTACGTAGAATACTATTAATATTATTAATCAATTCAAGGTTGACATGCTAGATAAGCAGCAGATCCAATAACATCACTTTAATTTTTTGTTTTATTTTATAACTAACATCACTTTATAATTTATTCAGGTAAGCTAAGCCTCTTCATGTGCATAACAAAATTCAGAATCACAGTGACAGTCCAGTTGTAAGTTGTGACCTAGTGTACCGCCTCAAAGAGGATCATGGCAAAGCAAAGAGGAGAATTGTTATGGAATTTTGCTTTTACTGCGTAACTTCACTGAAAACAAATAAGTGCATATCAAGCAATAGCGTGTTGAATCCCTTACTCTGTTTGAGCAGTTATCTGATAAACTCAATCTACAGCATTTAAGCTCCTATAAAGATGGCTTGAGCTTCATTAGAGAAAGTCAAACAAATTCATGTGTTGTTTACACCTATAAAGCCACACCATTGGCAAGCCAGTGTAGCACCCAATAAAAATAGAATTTGAAGGGAGAAACACCTGAAAAATTGTTGCAAATTGTAAATTTATAGATGATAACACATTATAGATACCTCTGTTGAATGCATGTTGAACTCTTCAATTCGTTTGAGCAAGTTATGAGCTAAATCTGCTGCAGGCTCAGGAGGCAGCTCCACAGAAACATTAGAGATTGTTTGTAAGAGGAAGACTCGGTCTCCAGCCCAAGAAACTGAATTCGAGTCTAAGCCCAATATCTCTTCATCCACACCTCCTTGTCTAAGAGGGCTCTTAAGTTCAGGCCCCAGTCCAAACTTGTCAAGGAGTTGCCAATGGTGGTGGAGGAACTCCCAGTCTACTGCTTTTGAAAGGAATGCTGAGACCTCTGACAGAAGAAACCAAGCACCAGGAGGGGCTGTCCACTTCTCTATTGGCATGGAATAGCTCAACCACATAGACTCGGATGTCCTTATAATATTCTGAAGTGCAATAGCAATTTTTGGCTTGAGCAGTTTCTTCTTTCCTAGGTTTGAGCAGATCTTCTTCACCCAAGGTATCACCTCCCCATTACAGATCTCTTTCAATAGACCCAAAACACCATTGGGATATAACAACTCAAACTCCCTTTCGAAACTTTTTTTCGTGTTATTTGGATCATAACTGGTTTCTCTATGCAGAGAATTAGTAGATCCAGCTCTAGACACCCTGTCCAATACCAGTTCAAGAAACAAATTCTGACAGTCTTCTTGAATGCTAGATTCATTATCAGTTATTAAACGTGGAACAGAATGTAGCCACTCCTTAGTCACAAATTCATCTGAAAATGTCCTAAAGACCTACAAAGTCAACAAAGAATCCAACATTACATTGAGTAACGCATGCAAACAGACATGTCAGAATAAATAAGATTTATAATGGAAAACTAACCAAAAAGGAACACGTTTTAAACAAGGGCAGGAAGGAAGCCAAATGCACACATTAAATATAAATTGTTGATATTTTGAAAAATGAAACAAAAAAAGAAAATATTTTAACCAAATTGTTTTTCAAAACAAATACACTTAACAACACAAGGTAGAACAGTATAAGTCGTAGGTTTGGATCTTACAAAGATAAATTAATAATTAAATACACTTTTGCAACAAAATAGAAATCCATAAATAGGCATAGAGGAGGGCTACAACAGCTTAAAACTCGGCCCATTTATATTGTATAAACCAACTACACGGCCTTAACAATCACTACTAACTTGATTGGCAGCATAGGAACCATGTCAAAAATCAAAACACTCTAACGGTAGGAACAAGGGACCATAAATGAGAGCAGCAGTAGATAATACAGTTAAATTTTCTTTCTGCCTTTTGAAATGGAATGGCCTGTGTGTTGTGTTTCTCATCGAACGGAAGGAGTAATACAAATTGAATACTCATTAGAATTTTTTAAGAATGACAATTACAGGTTGGGTGATACATTGCTCTTATACTACACACTGCATTATATAAAAATAGATCATAATGCTTCAGAAATATAGGCAAGAATTCAAAGAAGTTGAAAGAATCACTACTTGCAAGCAGAAAGTGTTCTAACTTCTAAGCCTGTGCAGTTAGACCTGTTTATCAAAGGCATATGAAAAAATTCACAGGCTGTCCATATTTTAGAAGTGATGTGTAGAAATGTGTATTAGTTTTGTGAAGTGTATCACTACTTGCAAGCAGAAAGTGTTCTAACTTCTAAGCCTGTGCAGTTAGACCTGTTTATCAAAGGCATATGAAAAAGTTCACAGGCTGACCATATTTTAGAAGTGATGTGTAGAAATGTGTATTAGTTTTGCGAAGTGTTTACCTATAGAAGTCAGATAGAGTCGTTTACATGGCATCACAATCCATTTCAATGTTGTACAATTGTCATGATAAGCAACTAACTAGAGCTACAATACTACATCAGCAGGACAAGGAAACAATTACTAAAGAAAAACAGTAAATAGACCTCTGAGAGAGCTGAAATTGCCGCTTTCCTTATGCTAACAAGTGGATCCGAACATGCCATGCCCATTGTCTTCAGCACGACTGTGTCGAAGGCACCACCTAAAAGAGCTGTTAACTTGGAAATCAGAAGAAGTGCAGCCTTTCTCACCGCTGCCTTCTCATCCGTACACCTCTTCCTTAAAAGATCTTTCATCCCACCTTCTTGCCTACTACACCCCTCATCACCAAACCCTATTACTTCCTTCAACACTGCCCTACTCCTATCATCGGCTGATAAGAACCCCACCAACTGTGCCAGATTTGTCAGAGCCCGAGCTCGAATCCCAGCAGTTGCATCCGAACATCGCTGAATCAAAGCCTCCAAACACCCCAGGCCCCAAGAATTCTCAACCCCATTCTCTGAATTCACCCCCAGACCCAATGGATCTCTCAATGACATCATTAACATTGAAATAAGATCAACAGCCAAGAGCCTAAGGTGAGCCTTACCTTGGGCCATCTTCACTACATAATCAGCAAACACAACTTGATCCTCGAATTCCATAGCTCGAACAATCTCCATTATCGATTCCACAGCTGCAGCCCGAGGCTCAGACCTCTCCGGTGCCTTTTGGACTAAATACTTGGGAAGATTCACAATTGCCTTCTTGATTTCATCAGAATCCTTAGCCATTCCCATCATTCGATTCACTACAAACCCCAATGCAAATGTCCGTGCCTGCGATTTAAGCATAAGAATCAAAGGAGACAGTAACTTCAACACCTCAGCTGCAGTAATTGCCTGATCGCCATGCTCGGGTCTTAGGAGTTCGCTTAAAATTCGCAAACACAAATCACAAAGCTTTGTATAAATCCCTGAATTCCCACACAATTCAAGTGCCATTACAGGAATTTCAGCCACAGTTTGAATCAAAGACTTCAAACTATCCAAAAATCGATCCAAATGAATCAAACCCAGAACAAGTTCTAACCTTTCGAGAAGAGGGGACAATTCTCTAACATCAAATGGTCTCCCTTCGTTCTCATCTCCATCATTCTCATCGTTTCTACACCGATTCCGTGAAGGCCCTGCACGACCACCGCCCTTCTTCTTCCGGGTCCGATTTTCAGCCGAAGGAGGAGGCAGCGATCCCGAATTTGGGTTCTTGAGAGACCTGCGGACGGAGCGAAGCAGAGAGAGAAAAGCCATGGGAGTGAAAAGTGTGAAAACAGGTGCGTTTGGGGAGAGAAGTAGAGAGAGATAGACTTTTGAGGCCAAGACAGAGAGGTGGGTGGGGCCGGAGTCCATTGCCGCTGTGATTGGACGGACGAGTGACGACGGCGAGAGGTTCTTTGATGAGAGTTGATCGTAGAGACGGTCAATGTCAAGTGGGTCGTTGCTGTTGAGAGTGTAGTCTAAGAGGGTTTGGAGAGCTAAGAGGGTTGATTCGGAGATGGGTGTTTGCGAGCTCAGGTCGGCCAGAGAATGGTGGTTTTCTACATCTGAGACTATTCGATATATGGCTTCTTCCATGGTTGATTTGGTCGGAACTTTGGGGGTCGCTGCGTCTAGGCAATCCCCCCCCTCTCTCTCTCTACTGCCCCCAAAGTGCTTCAAATTTTGGCATTCCCGCTTAAACATAAAACGCGCAGTTTGGGATCAAAATGATCAAGATAGAATTCATGGTATTCACATTTTTTTTTGTTTTTTGGTCATATGAGGCTCTCTTTTATACAATTATACCATGGAAAAAAAACGAATTGATAAACTCGGGTAGCAGAAATAAAAGAAAGAAAATGAGACAATAGTGTTAACTATGTATCTTGATTAAACAAGGAAAAGAAAATAAAATAAATAATAGTAATCTAGAATAGGAAAGAAAAGAAATAATACAGTAGTACTATTTAATGAATTTACTGTCATATTATTTTTTTTATGGGTTTTGTCTTTTATAAAAGGGTAAAGGATGCCAACACCTATACATGTAATGAATTAACATTGTTGACCTTTGACTTTTATATTAACCAATTTGAATGTTGAAATTACCTTTCAAACCTTGTATAATGCTTTACCCAAGTAGTTAATTAGACTCATTTCTTTCATTCTCTCCTCTCTTCGTTCTCTCTCTTCCTCCTCTTGTCGGCCCAACACCAACTACCCCTATATCCTTCCATTTTTTCTATTTTATACACACACACACATATATATACAAACACATACATACATATATATATATATATACACACACATACATATATATATTTTCATACACACACAAGGAGGCAGCGGCGGCAATGATGGGCTATCGTCAAGGATGAATCGCACCGGTGAATCAGATATAATGAGAATAAGACGCCTTCGATTTGACTTGGTCGATTTCATCTTCTGTTTTGGCGATGGCAGCTTTGATGTCGCACTCATTAACTATGATGGCCGCCAAGTAGCCGTAGAAGGTCTCGACGTTCTTGTCGGACTCGACGACCACCACGATCTCGCTTTTCAGCGCTTGTTGCACCAATTGAGCGTGGATTTAAGGGCCAAATTGGGGATTAATGTCGTGGGTTGTGGAAGTGAAGGTGGGTGGTGGTGGTGACGATGGCGATGGTAAGTGGCGGGGGTGGAGTCGCTGAGATTGCAATGGTGAGTGGAGAGAGAGAGAGAGAGGGGTGGGGCGGTGGTGGTGGTGATGGTGGGTGGTGTTAGAGCGACAAAAAGAGGAGGAAGAGAGAATGAAGAGGGGAGAGAGGAGAGATAAAGGGGGTGAATGGGTTATGGAGGAGAGAGAAAGGGGCTGTGTGTGTGTATATATATATATATGTATCTATATACCCCCAAATTGTCCAGGAACAACTTCGACGGTGGTCGCCACAAAGGCGGCGCTAACACCACCACAACCTTCACTCCTAAGCGAGAAGGATCCGAAGAAGCGCGCGCGTTCATCTTCAATGAAAGCTTCAATCTTTGCAAAATCTGGGTTAAGGGAGATGCCGTGGATTTGGTGGTGGGTTTAAGAGGCGATGACTGTTCATTTGTTACGGGTTTGGTGGTGGGTTTGAGAAGCGATGGTTCGTTTGCCATGGGTTTTCTTGTTTGTTCATTTGTTGGGTTTTGTGTAATGGTGGTAGTTGTATTGGGTTTGGTAAGTACAGAAGTGAGAGGGGTGATATTGTAACGACCCTAATTTTTACAAACCAGTGCGTCAGTGATGACCCAAAAGTTAACCCGGTAACAGATCCGAAATGCAGAAGCGAAAGATAAAACCAAAGTTTATAGAGATATAAATCATCCCCAAGACACCAACGTGACCTTCCATGAAGTCAAAAAAACTCAAAGAGAACGAAAGAGCAAACGAGAGTCAAAATGAGCAAAATCCGTTAATTAAGGGCAAAATAGTTAATTTACAAATAAAAAGGGAAGTTTGACTCCAAACAAGTCAAATGAAGTCCATACAACCTAAAATAATCATTTCACAACATTGCAAGAGGTTCTAAGAACTTTGGCCAAGAATCCCACAAGACTCCCATTCTAAGTTTAAACAAAATTTGATACTATTTCACTAAAACTGTAATGACCCGGATTTTCGGATAATTTTTTTTGCATTGTCTTTTCCCTTCTGAGTTTGGTTTCTTGTCGATTAGTGTCGTCTCGAGTGCTCTGAAATGACTTCCGAGACTCTTTTTTTTGGATTGACAACTTCCTTTGAGGACCGAGTTATTTCCACATTTTTCATTTTTTGACACTATTCACTTTTCGTCATTTTCCCTATTTCGTCTTTTCCCTATTTTGTCCTTTCCCCGTTTATCACTTTGTTGGCATAACCACACTTCTTATGTTTGGAGTTGGTTTTTGATTTCACGTATCTTCATTCTCAGTGATTTTCATGAAATACGTATCTTTACTTTTACAAGAAAGTACTCTTGTTGCTCCCGGTGTCCATAGGGGCATGGATGCACAGTTCTTACGAATCTTTTTCTTTTCCTAAGGTATTTTTCATAAATATCTTTTGAAGATATTTATTTCAGGGGTTTCTAAGAAAATATCTTTTTGGAAGATATTTTCATTCTGGGGCAGTTTTGCAATTTTCACTTTTTAGAGGGGCCATTGTGCAATTAATGAAAGTTATTGCTCAATGTCTTGTTTTGAGCCTGGATTCTCGTACGGGATTTATTTTCACTTTTCGTTGAGTCGTGTACTCTTGGAATTTCCTCTTAGTCGATATTTTCCAGTTTCAGAGTTTCTGGCCCTCGTTTGCGCCAAATTTGTTTGGGGCATAACTTTCTACTCGGGACTCGGTTTTTGACGCCGTTTCTTCCGTTATTCATATTTTCTCATTTTAAATCTTTTTCATTCAAAGAGTTTCACCGTTTGAGTGCGTCTACTTGAATTTCACTTTTCCGGATCCTACGGGGCCCTTTCAGGGCACTTTTTGAGATTTTCTATAAATGGGAACACTTAAGAGAAAATATCAGATTTTTCTCTCTCTCCTCTCTCTTGGCAGGATCTCATGGCAGCCATGGCTGCCATGCTTCTCTCTTCTTTTCCGGTCACTTCCCTTGGTTGAAAAGGTGCAGTACCTTTATGTTTATTGTTCCCCTCGACGTGCTCTACCATTCCCAATTATTAGAACTCAGTTTTGGCCATTTCTTGAGTTTGGGTTTGAAGTCAAGACGTGTTTTTGATGGGGCTTTCTTCGGATTCCTGTTCGTGGTGTTGTCCCCAACAAAACCTAGGAGTTTTGTTGGATTCGGAGTGGTTTCCATTTGGTGGGGATTTGAGATTTCATCTCAAATGGAGGTAGGGAATGTTTTAGGATTATTTGTGCGTTGTATTGTGTGTTTGCCATGATTATACAACATATATGTATGCCTTGTATCAAATCTAGAAAGTTAGTAATTTTTATTTCTTTGTATAAGATTTAAAATTCATGATGATGTGTAACTTGGATTTGAATTGTGGCATGCTAGAAAATCTTGTTTTAATGTGTTGGTCAACACATATTAAATTTGGATTAATTAAATAAAAATTGTACTTTTTAATTAATATTTATCTTTTGTGAAAGATTAAAGTTCATGGTCGTACCTTGCATAAAATTGAGTTGTATTATGCATCTAAATTAAGTTTTGGCATGTCTATTAACATACTTTAATTTGAGAGAATTTGGTTGAGTTTAAAAATCTAGAGACTTTAATTAAGAGAATTAATTAAAATCTATTTTGTGGTTTCAAGGGCCTAATTAAGCTTTTGTGTGAATATATGTAATGATCATGATATGTCTTTTAACATATATTAAATTGAGGCCATTTGGAAATGATGTGAAATCTAGAAAGTTTAATTATTTTGATTTAATTAAATTCTATCTTGTTTATCCATGGATTTAATCATATTTTAGAAGTTGTTTTTATGTTGAGATCATGGATTTGGATTTGTTGAGTATTCACTTGATTATGTTTTAAGTATTGAAGAGTATTGTTGTTAAATTTATATTCATGAGAACTTGTTTCCAATATTGAATATATGATTGACTTGTGTAAGGAATTGTACACTTTGTGTTGACATTATATATGCCATTTTAGAATTTAAACTCTAAGGCATGGATTGTGTGGTTTCAACCTACTTGTGCATGGAAGGTGGTTTTCGTACATTATATAAATTACGTATAAGTTGTGAACTTATTTGATTATTTTGGAGTCTTGGGACATTGTTACAAGTGACATGGCTCTACTGCGGGAGGTATGAGTTCTCCCTAATTGAGATAGTGCGCACTAGGGTGGTCTTCCCAGCGGGTTAATGCCCGGAATAACCATTTTGTTCTTGGTTTAGTCCGAGACGTGATGTCCAAGTCTTCCACTATTTGTTTTTGCATTCAATTCCAAGTTAACAATCATGTTTATATTGTGACTTGTGGTTTTGGTTATTGGCGATTTTGATGTTGTTAAGTACATCCATTTTTATGATTTTAGTGAATCATTTTGATGTTGTTAAACACATCTATGTTATATGAGTTGTATAAGCATCACAAGCATGCTATATAATAAGAATCATAAATTATAACACCCCCTACCTCGATTTGAGATGAAATCTCAAAAGCCACCAAATGAAAACCGCTCCGAATCGGACGATATCGAAGGGTTTTGTCGGGGACAACACGATGAACAAGAATCCCTAAGAAGCCCCATGGAAATCACAACTTGACTTCAAACCCGAACTCAAAATTTGGTCAATACGGGTTCTAATAAGGGCAAAAGGTGCGCGTCATCAAGCCAAGCATTAAACGTTAAGGTCGAAGAGTTTTCACTTGAGGGAATTGGCCGGAAAATGATGAAGAAGACTGGCAGCCATGGTTGCCATGGATGGCCGGCCAAGAGAGGGAGGAGAGAGAAATGAATTTTTTTCTTTAAGTCTTTTATTTATAAAAAAACCCTAAAAGCGCCCCGAAAGGGTCCCGCCGGGTCCGAAAAAGTGGATTATGAGAAAATGCGCTCAAACGGAAAAACTCCGTGAATGAAAAAGATTCCAAATGAGAAAATATGATCAATGGAAGAAATGTCGTCAAAACCGAGTCCCGAGCAGAAAGTTATACCCCGAACAAGTTCAGCGGCAACTAGGGTTAGAAACTCTGAAACTGGAGAAAAACGACCAGAATGGAATTCTAAGACTACACGACTCGAAGAAATGTGAAAATTAATCACGTATGAGGATCCAAGCCTAGACAAGATATTTTGCAATAACTTTCATTAATTACACAATGACCCCTACAAAAAGGGTTAACTAC